ATTATGGGTTCCTCGTAACTATTTTATTTGAATAGTCAAATGTTATCAATGTATTGTATAAAATTGGGATTCACACAATCACTAATAACTATGCTGTCAAATAAAATATATCTAATATTCATTCATATATCTAACATGGGCCACTAACAAGACACAATAATACAAAGATTGACTCTCCTATAAATAAACAGCTAATGCAGTTTTACTACCAATCTGAAGATTACCCAAGACTGTGTGTTAATTGTTTTTTTAAAAAACATTACATCATATTCATGATTACCATTGTTCTTGTGTTCCTTCCAATAGCTTTCAACTTATGGTGATCTTAAGGCAAACCTATCAAGTTTTTTTCTTGGCGAAATTTACTTGCTTTGTCTTTTTTTGAAGGTGTGAATGTAACTTACTTAAAATCATCCAGTAGGTTTTCATGGCTGAGGGTTCTCCCCTCACCAGAGTCCAGTGCTAAAGCCAGTACATCATGTTTTGGCCTTCAACTCCTAGAAATCCCAGCCAGTTTACCAGCTGTTAGTTAGGATTTCTGGGAATTGAAGGCCAAAACATCTGAGGACCCACAGGTTGAGAACCACTGTACAGAACCTGGATGCAATATTTTTTTCTCAATTTTATTAATAATTTCAAAAAGTATGTGTTACTCCTTCGCGTTGCAGATCAGGAACTATGACTGAAGGGAAGTGACTTACGAAGTATGGACTGCTTCCAACAAAGCAAATATATTACAGACAGTATTATAATGTATGATGAAGCATACAAACCACACACAGTCACAATCCTCCTCACAGAACCATGTCATCACAAATGACCACAGCCTCCATCCTCAAGAGTAAATACATTCATTTCCCTGTATAATTGCTCCATGTGATTTGCACGTTTCTCTACACAGAAGGGCTTCCAGGCACAAAACTGACCACATTTGAAGTTGCCTTATCCGCAGTTTGGTTGCATGAGATTTGAATGCCACTCCCTGTGAAGCACTGAACTACAACAAAGAAGAACTCAGAGCTTATTTGTGTGGGAGCAAAACTTGTCAGCTAAGTTATATGCTGCAGCAGGTCTGTGAAAAGCACAACCTGAAAGCTGGTGCTAGTCAAGGAAGACAGAACCTTAGCTCAACAGGCGAATGACCTATTTCAATATAAGACAGTTATATATGCGTATCTGGATCTTTTCTTTCAACCAAAGTACATACTCATTACTACCACATCTCAAATATAACATCTGACAATGATAGCCGCAATTAGCAATTCAATATATATAGTAAGTAACAAAAATATAATTACTCTAACTCAATGTATGAACAAGACAGTGAAGCCTGTAGTAATTTTAAGGAAATTAATTGCTATGACTGATGGGGTGGCTATAGAGCCATGGTGGACAAAAACTCAAAATAATTACAAGCCTTAGGGGGAAAGCATGCCTATAAACTCTGAAACGACCTATTGGGATTCCATTGCCAATATTTGGTTTCAAAGTCAGACAAGTGAAACAAAATTACAGCAGGTAATAAATGGCCCTAAGAAAACACTCCAAATGGAGCCACAATTCTATAAATCAGTACTGTTTAATTTTTCCTCACCAATTTGCCTATAAATCATTCCTATTATAATCACACGTGGTCTCCTTTGGAATCATAAAGAAATTTCCACCCTCTACCTTTATAAATGGATATGGAAATGTATGTTTCAAGGCAGCAAAATTGCTGAAGGGGTATTTTATGCACATTCAATGCCACAAAGTCTAGTGTAATATTAACTCTGTCTTATCTATCCAGAGCTGGTTACAAACTTACACAGAGTAATAAATCAAAGGTAAAGCTCAACATCCGCTTGAACTTGCAAAAAAAAAAAATGCATGGAGAGATAAAATCTTATTAGCAGCTTTTATGTTTTCCCTCAAATCAAATTCTTGTTTTTTGCCTTTTATAGGTTATAAAACCCCTTCATAGCATGCATGCACACACACACACACACACACACACACACACACACAAACACACACAAACACACATACATACACATATCTATTTGTCTATCTATCTATCTATCTATATCTACATACATACACAATATTAACTGTGCTAGGACAACAAAAGCCATCCACTACAATTCTTCTACCAACTTCTTTTTCTCAGCTAGTCAGTCTCAAAGGTGCTACAAAATCACTACATACAAACTGACAAAGCATTATTGGGAATCCCAAAATCTGAAATACCCCAAAATTCTAAATTTTCCAGTGAGATGCTAAAACAGTAACACCTTTTCTTTCTGAGTTCAATGTATACAAAATTTGATTCATGCACAGAATTATTTTAAAATATTGCATAAAATTACCTTCAGGCTATATGCATAAGATGTACAGGTTGAATATTTCCCATCTGAAATGTTTTGTACCAGATATAGTTTGGATTTTTTAAATTATGAAACACACACACACACACACACACACAATGAGCAATCAAGGAAATGAGACCCATGTCTAAACACAAAACTCATTTATGTTCATATGTGGCGTATGCACATAGCCTCAGGGCAACTTTATGCAATATCTGAAATCATTTTGCGCATGAAACATCGAATCATCAGAACACAAAGTTGTCATTATTTCAGCTACCTGTGCAGACAATTTTGGAATTTTAGGTAAGGCATGCTCAATCTATGAACCACAAATGTTTTGGTCTTTAAAGATGGATCCCATTTCCATGATACCTCATTGTGGACAACAACTTAAACGTGAGCCAACAATGTGATGTGGCGGCAAAAAAAGCCAATGGGATTTTGGCCTGCATCAATAGGAGCATAGTGTCTAGATCTAGGGAAATAATGCTACCCCTCTATTCTGCTTTGGTTAGACCACACCTGGAATAGTGTGTCCAATTCTGGCACCACAATTCAAGAGAGATATTGACAAGCTGGAATGTGTCCAGAGGAGGGCGAATAAAATGATCAAGGGTCTGGAGAACAAGCCCTATGAGGAGTGGCTTAAGGAGCTGGGCATGTTTAGCCTGAAGAAGAGAAGGCTGAGAGGAGATATGATAGCCATGTATAAATATGTGCGAGGAAGCCACAGGGAGGAGGGAGCAAGCTTGTTTTCTGCTTCCTTGGAGACTAGGACGTGGAACAATGGCTTCAAACTACAAGAGAGGAGATTCTATCTGAATATTAGGAAGAACTTCCTGACTGTGAGAGCCATTCAGCAGTGGGACTCTCTGCCCCGGAGTGTGGTGGAGGCTCCTTCTTTGGAAGCTTTTAAACAGAGGCTGGATGGCCATCTGTCAGGGGTGATTTGAATGCAATATTCCTGCTTCTTGGCAGAGGGTTGGACTGGATGGCCCATGGGGTCTCTTCCAACTCTTTGATTCTATGAATGCAATATTCCTGCTTCTTGGCAGGGGGTTGGACTGGATGGCCCATGAGGACTCTTCCAACTCTTTGATTCTATGATTGCAATATTCCTGCTTCTTGGCAGGGGGTTGGACTGGATGGCCCATGAGGTCTCTTCCAACTCTTTGATTCTATGATTCTATGAATACAACAATGCAAATATACACATAAAAACAACAATAAAATATAAGGAAATAAAATAAAAGCAGTATAAATGAACCCATGAGACAATATAAAATCACAATATTTGAACACTGAAAGTTGATCACAGTGGGCTGGCGGCCAGTTGCAGGGACTAAAAGTTTAAAAACACTGGGTGGGAGAGCAATGTAATGTATCTAGACAGGGGATCCGAGGGACAAGTATCCCACATTATTATTTATTTATTTATTTACGGCATTTATATGCCGCCCTTCTCACCCCGAAGGGGACTCAGAGCGGATTACAATATATATTTTCATACAATATATTATATTATTAGCATAGTACAATATCAGTATATATTACTATATTGCACTATACCGTTATATTGTAATATTATTAGTAATATTACATGTAATGTAAATATATAATTATAATATTGAAGGCTGCGGGGCTCGTAATGGGGCAGCTCTTTGCAAAGCTCTTGAGCGTCTTTGGAAGCCGAGACCTCACTACCTCTGAGGATGCTTGCCATAGATGCAGGTGAAATGTCAGGAGAAATGCCTCTAGAACATGGCCATATAGCCTTTTTATTAGTAAAGACAAGATGGAAGTGTCTTCTGCTCCCTTCTGTCTTCGCTCTGAGTGTGGACTCAAATAACCCAGTTCAAAGCAGATATTCCACATTATCTGAGTGTGGACTCAAATAACTCACTTCAAAGCAGATATTGTGGGATTTTCTGCCTTGATATTCTGGGGTATATGTCTGTGGGCCCTTCCACACAGCCTTATATCATAGAATATCAAGGAAGAAAATCCCACATTATCTGAGTGTGGACTCAAATAACCCAGTTCAAAGCAGATATTCCACATTACCTGAGTGTGGACTCAAATAACCCAGTTCAAAGCAGATATTGTGGGATTTTCTGCCTTGATATTCTGGGGTATATGTCTGTGGGCCCTTCCACACAGCCTTATATCGCAGAATATCAAGGCAGAAAATCCCACATTATCTGAGTGTGGACTCAAATAACCCAGTTCAAAGCAGATATTGTGGGATTTCCTGCCTTGATATTCTGGGATACAGGGCTGTGTAGAAGGGCCCTGAATAGTATCCTACATTATCTGCTTTGAACTGGGATCTATGATAGTATGGAATCAGATAATAACCCAGTTCAAAGCAGATATTCCACATTATCTGAGTGTGGACTCAAATAACCCAGTTCAAAGCAGATATTCTGGGATACAGGGCTGTGTGGAAGGGCCCTGAATACTATCCCACATTATCTGCTTTGAACTGGGATCTATGATAGTATGGACTCAGATAATAACTCAGTTCAAGGCAGATATGGTGGGTTATTCTGCCTTGATATTCTGGGTCATATGGCTGTGTGGAAGGGCCCTGTCTAAGGCCTTCTCCTCCTCCTCCTCCTCTTCCTCCTTCTTCTCCTTCCCTCTTACCTAAGGTCTGGTTCGAAAGCCGTGGAAGGTGGCGGCGCTGTCGGGCCGAAACATCTCTTTCCCCCTCTCCCTTCTCCTTCCCTCCGCGCTCTGCTTCCTCTTTCCCTCAGCGCAGGCCTCTCACCCATCGACATCAAGCAGCCCCAGCCTGTCTTCCGCCTCCTCTTCGCCTCAAGAGTAACTGTCGCTCGGAGGGGGGAGGGGGTGCCAAAGGAGTGACAGCGCCGCAGCCAATCACAGGAAGCTGTCACCGCCCCGCCTTCCCCCTAAACGTCACGAAGTGGGCGGAGCCGAAGGGTAGCGACTCCGTGAGCGACGTCGCCCCTCCCTTTTCGAAACCGGAAACCCGTTCGCAAACCACGCCCCCATTGAGGCCTTCTTATTTCCGCTTCCTCCCGCCATATGGTTACGGGAAGATGTCAGGGAAAGGGAAGGGATATGCCGGGAGGCGGCCATTTTGGAAGCGGCAAAGGGACGGGAAGGGAATGGGGAGGCTTTCCTGAGGTAAATTGAACTAATAATAATAATAATAATAATAATAATAATGTATAGTTAGAAATACACAAATAACAAATTATAATAACAATAATACATAGTTAAAGCATGCATAACAAAATTAAACTACTAATAATAATTACATAGTTTAAATACACAGAAAACAAATTAAAATAATAATACATAGTTAAAACTTAACTTAAACCTATAATAATAATAATAATAATAATACATAGTTAAAACACACATAATAAATTAAACTACTAATACTAGTAACAAGGAAGACTATTGTTATGGTCTTAACAATAGTAGAACAAGAGAAGGTGGCGAGACTATACAGAAGATCTGTATAGGAAGGATAATAATATCGAGGATAGTTTTGACGGTGTGGTGAATGAATTAGAACCAGACATCCTGAGGAGTGAGGTTGAATGGGCCTTAAGAAGCATTGCTAACAACAAGGCAGCAGGAGACGACAGGATCCCAGCTGAACTGTTTAAAATCTTAAAAGATGATGCTGTCAAGGTGATGCATGCCATATGCCAGCAAATATGGAAAACACAAGAATGGCCATCAGACTGGAAAAAATCCACTTATATCCCCATACCAAAAAAGGGAAATGCGAAAGACTGCTCAAACTTCCGTACAGTGGCCCTTATTTCTCATGCCAGTAAGGTAATGCTCAAGATCCTGCAAGGAAGACTCCAGCAATACATGGAGCGAGAGTTGCCAGATGTTCAAGCTGGGTTTAGAAAAGGCAGAGGAACGAGAGACCAGATTGCCAATATCCGCTGGATAATGGAGAAAGGCAGGGAGTTTCAGAAAAACATCTACTTCTGCTTCATTGACTATTCTAAAGCCTTTGACTGTGTGGATCATAATAAATTGTGGCAATTTCTTGGTGGGATGGGCATACCAAGCCACCTTGTCTCTCTCCTGAGGAATCTGTACAAGGACCAAGTAGCAACAGTCAGAACTGACCATGGAACAACAGACTGGTTCAAGATTGGGAAAGGCGTACGGCAAGGCTGCATACTCTCACCCAACCTTTTTAACTTGTATGCAGAACACATCATGCGATGTGCGGGGCTGGATGAATGCAAAGCTGGGGTGAAAATTGCTGGAAGAAACATTAACAACCTCAGATATGCAGATGACACCACTCTGATGGCCGAAAGCGAGGAGGAGCTGAGGAGCCTTCTAATCAAGGCGAAAGAAGAAAGCGCAAAAGCCGGGTTGCAGCTAAACATCAAAAAAACCAAGATTATGGCAACAAGAATGATTGACAACTGGGAAATAGAGGGAGAAAACGTGGAGGCCGTGACAGACTTTGTATTTCTAGGCGCAAAGATTACTGCAGATGCAGACTGTGGCCAGGAAATCAGAAGACGCTTACTTCTTGGGAGGAGAGCAATGTCCAATCTCGATAAAATAGTGAAGAGTAGAGACATCAGCTGGCAACAAAGATCCGCCTAGTCAAAGCCATGGTATTCTCTGTAGTAACCTACGGATGTGAGAGCTGGACCTTAGGGAAGGCTGAGCGAAGGAAGATCGATGCTTTTGAGCTGTGGTGGTGGAGGAAAGTTCTGAGAGTGCCTTGGACTGCGAGAAGATCCAACCAGTCCATCCTCCAGGAAATAAAGCCCGACTGCTCACTGGAGGGAAGGATACTAGAGACAAAGTTGAAGTACTTTGGCCACATCATGAGGAGACAGGAAAGCCTAGAGAAGACAATTATGCTGGGGAAAGTGGAAGGCAAAAGGAAGAGGGGCCTACCAAGGGCAAGATGGATGGATGGCATCCTTGAAGTGACTGGACTGACCTTGAAGGAGCTGGGGGTGGTGACGGCCGACAGGGAGCTTTGGTGTGGACTGGTCCTTGAGGTCACGAAGAGTCGGAGACGACTGAACGAATGAACAACAACAACAACAACAATAATAATACATAGTTAAAACACACATAATAAATTAAACTACTAATAATAATTACATAGTTTAAATACACAGAAAACAAATTAAAATAATAATACATAGTTAAAACATACCTTAAACCTATAATAATAATACATAGTTAAAACACACATGATAAATTAAACTACTAATAATAATTAAATAATTTAAATACACAGAAAACAAATTAAAATAATAATACATAGTTAAAACATAATAATAATAATACATAGTTAAAACATGCATAATAAATTAAACTACTAATAATAATTACATAGTTTAAATACACGGAAAACAAATTAAAATAATACATAGTTAAAACATAATAATAATAATAATAATAATACATAGTTAAAACATGCATAATAAATTAAACTACTACTAATAATTACATAGTTTAAATACACTGAAAACAATTAAAATAATAATACATAGTTAAAACATAATAATAATAATAATAATAATAATAATAATAATAATAATAATAATACATAGTTAAAACATGCATAATAAATTAAACTACTACTAATAATTACATAGTTTACACGGAAAACAAATTAAAATAATAATACATAGTTAAAACATAATAATAATAATAATACATAGTTAAAACATGCATAATAAATTAAACTACTACTAATAATTACATAGTTTAAATACACTGAAAACAAATTAAAATAATAATACATAGTTAAAACATAACTTAAACCTATAATAATAATAATAATAATAATAATAATAATAATAATACATAGTTAAAACACACATAATAAATTAAACTACTACTAATAATTACATAGTTTAAATACACGGAAAACAAATTAAAATAATAATACACTTAAAACATAACTTAAACCTATAATAATAATAATACATAGTTAAAACACACATAATAAATTAAACTAGTAATATTATTTATACACAGATAGCAAATTAACGGTGCTCCATGCAGTCATGCTGGCCACATGACCTTGGAGGTGTCTAGGGACAACACTGACTCTTCGGCTTAGAAATGGAGATGAGCACCACACCCCAGAGTCAGACATGACTGGACTGAATGTCAGGGGACTACCTTTACCTTTACCTTTAGCAAATTAAACTAATAAGAATACATATATAAAACATAAATTAAACCTATAATAATGTATAGTTAAAAACACACAAATGATAAATTAAAATAATAGTACATGGTTAAAACACACATAATAAATTAAACTACTGCTAATAATAATAATAATAATAATAATAATAATTACATAGTTTAAATACACAGAAAACAAATTAGAATAATAATACATAGCTAAAACATAACTTACACTTATAATGATAATACATAGTTAAAACACACAGATAATGAAACTAACAACAATACAAAATATTCTTTTGTAAAAGCCTGCTTGGAAAGAAAGAAAAACCTGGAACCAGAAAGTATATGTAAAATATTTATACACTGCATAAGGTATATATAAAACATGAATTTTGCATTTAGGCTTTTGTCTCATCTCCGAGATCTCTCATTGTGCACTGATATGTATTCTGAAATCCAAAGCAGTTCTTCTCTCAATCATTCTGGACAGGAAAACTCAGACTGTATTCATTATTATTAATTCATGTCACTCGCCATCTCATTCATAGGGTTGGTATAAAATGAAGGCATCTTGACAGCAGTGAGAAACAAATTAACATGACAGTGGCTCCTGGTAACAATGGTATAATACTGTTTTCACTGGGGGATGCTTGTTGCGCGTATTGAGTCTGTAGGAGAACTGTTATCGGCTTAATGCAAGGGTTATTAGAGAGTAAGCCCTATTTAACCTGACACTGAACTCACACCCATAGAATCTGGATGCACAAAGACTAAGAAAACCAAAGGAAACATTGCTGAAGCTTACAATGACCTGGCTTTTTCCCAGAAGTAAGCTCCCTTCATTCCAGTGTGACTTATTTCTGGGTGACTGAGGCTAAGGACCCCTTGCAAAGAGAAATAAATATGGGGGAGTGAATTTGGCAGTTGCTTGATGGCCTGCATGTATGTGGCTTTGGGCCTACAGTCACATTTCATGATATTTGAAAATCTACAAAAAGTAGGAAGAATTACTGGATATTGAGCAAGGAAATTCTATTTTTTAGATTATTTAAAAAACAAAAAAGAGAGAATGGAGTACAAGCAGTCTCCCATTTTTTTTCCTTTCCCCCTAATACCCCAGGAGTGAATTTCCTCTCCTAGGGGTAGATTTCTCTCACTTCCTGTGGTCTCATCTCTGTTCTTAACTATGAGTTGTTTGTAAGTCAGATATTTGTAACTCAGGGACTTCCTGTATTGTTTTTGGGGAGCCAGGTTTACAGACATTACACAGCATAACTTCATCAATAATGTAGAGGCATAAAGTTGGAAGAGATCCCTAAGGGCCATCAAGTCCAACCCCATTCTGTCATGCAGGGATACGCAATCAAAGCACTCCTGACAGAAGGCCATCCAGCTTCTTAAGACTCTCCAGAGAAGGAGACTCCATGATACTCTGAGGCAGAATATTCCACTGCCAAACAGTTCTTACTGTCAGGAAACACTTTTTAATCTTTAGGTGGAATATCTTTTTCTGTAATTTGGTCCCATTGCTCTGTGTCCTAGTCTCCAGAGCATCAGAAAACAACCTTCTCAATGTGGCATTGAGCATGGCTATCTTGTGTCCCCTCTCAACCTTATTTTCTCCAAGCTAAGCACATGTAACATTGACAACTTCATACGGTGTATCAGGAAAAGGGCCCATGCTCTTA